CGAGACGGCGTGCTGGTCCTGCCGCGCGGCGGACGAGTGCGACGCCGCGGGCGACGGCTGCGCGTGGGTCGGCGGCGACTACCCGTTCTGCGACACGAATCACGCGTGCGAGGCGGCGACGTGCTTCGCCTGCGGCCTCGACGAGTGCGCGGGCGTCGACGGGTGCATGCTCGACGCGCCGCGCGGCGGGCCCGGGGCGGCGGACTACTTCCGCCCGAGCTGCACGGCGTTCCGGGAGTGCTCGGGCGACTACGACTGCTGGGCGTGCGCCGAGGCCGAGTGCGGCGCCGCGGACGGCTGCGAGTGGCTCGGCGACTACTGCGCCGAGGCGTGCGGCGCGGGCAAGTGCCACGTCTGCGGGGAAGGCGAGTGCGAGGCCCGGAGCTGCGACCTCGTCGACGCCTCCGACCTCTTCGCCGGCGCGGACGACGACTTCCGGCCCAAGCTCTGCGTCGAAAGCTGCTCGCCGACGAACTGTTACTTTTGCCTCGAGGACGACTGCGACGCCACGGACGGCTGCATGCGCCACGAGGGCCTGTGCGTCGAGGCCCGGGACTGCTCCCCGGACCACTGCTGGGCCTGCGGGACGGGGGAAGCCTGCGCCGCCGCGGGTTGCGCGGTCGTCGAGGACGCGGACGGCGCCGACCTCTGCGTGGACCCGCGCTGCGACGACTGCGAGTCCTGCGGCGAGGGCGCCTGCCAGCGTCCTGCGGCCGCGACGATATTCGAGAGATGTCGACCGGGAAACCGATGAAACGTCGTGACCGACGGTTGCGGTAGGCGCCTGCCGCGCGAGCGAGACCTGCGAGCTCTACGAGGGTGACCCAGCGCTGCTCGGCGCGTCCTTCGCGTGCGCGCGCCCGGACGCGTGCGTGCCCTACTACGCCTGCGCCAATTGCGACGAGGACCTCTGCGCCGTCGGCTACGTGCCCGGCTGCAAGCTCAGCGCCGACGCCAAGCGCTGCGAGGCCGACGACGCCGCGCTGGCGTGCTCGAACGTCAACTGCGGCGCGTGCGGCGCCGGCGCCGCGTGCGACGCGCTGCTCCTCTGCTCGACGACGCCCTTCGGGACGTGCGCCCAGGACCTGAGCTTCCTCGAGGACGGCATGGGGCCCTGCCGCGCGGAGCTCTGCGAGCTCTGCCCCGTGCCGCAGCTCTGCGACGCGGCGCCCGGGTGCGCGTTCGGCGACGCGTGCGGCAAGGACGAGGCCTACTACGGCTGCGGCGCGCAGGCCTGCGGCCCGGCGTCCTGCGCGCTCTGCGCGACGGCGTCCGCCTGCGACGCCGTGCCGGGCTGCGCGAGCCAGAGCCTGCCGGGCGCGGGCGACCTCTGCGCCGTCGACCTCGCGGCCGGGTTCCTCGCGCCCGCGTGCTCGCGCGACGCGTGCTACGCGTGCGACGTCGCGGCCTGCGCGGCCACGCCCGGCTGCGCCTACGACGACCAGACGGGCGCCTGCGGCTTCGACTGCGGCGCCGACGGCGGCGGCGTCGTCTTCGAGTCGGACGCGCGGCGCTGCTACGCGCTCGTGCTCCGCGGCGCGTGGCAGGATCGCGCGCTCGCCGTCTTCGACGGCGCCGCGGCGCTCGTCGCCGCCGGCGAGAAGCGCACGTCGGCGCACGTCCGCGACGACCTGTGCCTCGGCGACGGCTGCTACCGCGTCGACGTGAGCGGCGGGCGGCCGGGCGTCTTCGCGCCCTGCTTCTGGACCCTCGGGCCCGCGTTCG